ATGGTAAATACATGCAGATATCTCATTAAATTATTTACGATCACTCAATCAACTGAAAAATAAGTGTTTTGTGACTTACATAAAATATATTTCTAGTGTATTCAATGATTTAAGATGAAAACAAAATGAATTTAATTTCATTCTAAATGAGCTAGTGCAATGATCAGAAAAAGGAAAGATACTTTATTTAAATTCATTTTAATTTTCCTTCATAATAATTTATACATGATTTATATTGATAGTGAGAACTTTTAACTTTAATTTTAAAAAGAATGACCTCAGTACCCTGACTTTTTCAGCAATTAATTTCTTCTCAACATTAATAAGTATTTATTTTAATTTTTGCCCCTCTATTTGGGCTAGTAACTTTTTACTTGGGGCTAGTAACTTTGATTGACTTACTTGATTTTTTTTATTGCACACCCCTGTGTACTATAGTTAAAAACAATGGGTACAAAGTAGTTCCATGCACAGCAATAGAAATGGAAGCATAGGAGACGTTTGAAGCTTTGTTTGATGAAACAATAAAGAGAATATCATCAACATATGAAAAATACACACAAGGTTAAGTAAATATTGACCGTATTTGTTCAATAAAAATTAAAGAAAATTCAAGAAGCGATGCAATTGTGATTTTGAAACCTGACATGACCTTAACAATTTGCAAAGAATTAAACAGAAAATTTGTAGAAATGAAACTACGTCTAAATTGCAATGTTACGAGAAACAAAAGAAATACGCGTTTTCACATCTTATGAGTACATAGAAAACGTTTTCTCTCCCAGAAAAAATAATAGGAAAAAGAGGAGAACTTAGAAAATTTTGCCACCTATATTAATTATATTCGCTCGCCTCATAATTTTGAAACCCGAAATGAAAATAATATTTGTAAAATTATTTCGCTCGATTGCCTCACTTTTTATTTTTGAAAATCCAAAGAACTATTTTACAAATTGGCGTGGCCTAACTGTTCATATCTAAAGGCCATTTAAAAAGTTCTGAGAATTTATTGTTTTTGATGTCTTCAAATTTTCAGCAAAGTGGATGTGAATGATATCACTAAGTAATCTTTGTGATGGAACACAGTCTTTTTGACCACAAGGACATTTCAAATTCAATGATCTAAAACAAATTCTGAATCAAGAAAAGAAATTCTGAGCCCCATTACAAACTTTCAATCCTATTTATTTATCATGTAAGTCTTAATTATTTTGTAAATTAACATATGAAATAACTATTAATTGGTACACTGAGGTGCCATTTTTTGTCTTCAACAGCTGATGAATTAATGACAGTTAATTTTGCAGTATTGCTAAACTGTTCCTGCATTTTCTAATATTTCACAGCAAAGACTGCTAGCTTTCACTGTATATATAGTGAGAGTTTCAACAAAAACTGCCATTTTCAACAGGCTTTTAGATGGCTTGAAACTATCTCAAAGAGCACAAATATATAATGATTGAATATGACATAGTGTAGTCCAGGTAAACAGTATCCAGTTAGGTATTAATGTCCATTAGAGAGAATCCAAATACTATGCAGATGTTCACATTCAACAATTACTTTGATGAAATATTGTTTTCTTTCTACGGTTATTTTAATGGCCAGTTTACTGAACATGCAGGATCATGCCGTAATTTTAGAGTCATGTTCTTCACAAAAATACCTCATACAGTAATTTGTGATTCACATGGGTTTCTTTAATGAAAAGGAAAGTAATTAATGGAAATAAAATACATATAAGAGATAAGATATTTTCCTGCACATGTCAGCTGGAGATGAAACAATGAATACAGTTTTAAAAAATATCGTTCTTACATGTTTAACATAGAAAAATATTTTTGAAAATAATGGGTTACCAAAAGTTTTAGTCATCTGCTGGAATTGGCTGCTCATGAGAACTGGTTAAAACTAATTAATGTACAGTACTATTAAACTTCGGTATCTCGAACACTGATATCTTGAATACCATGGATATGTCGAAGTGATTTGGAAGTCCCAACCGCTTATTCCTTAAGAATTTTACCCTGGATATCTTGAATCCTCGGATATCACGAAGTATTTTCTTGGTCCCATTGAGTTTGAGATAACAAGGTTTGACTGTATTTACAATTTCATGTATAAAAATATGAATTGCAAATTCAGGCAAAAAATTTAATGAGCTGTCATATTTTATTTGGTAATCCTCTCCTTTTTTAGATCTTGTGGTTTGACTTCAGTATTTATATTTTAAGAAAATCATTCTATTTTTGATGCATGTGAATTTCTGTGGACAAGTTTATAGCTCTTTTTGGCCTCATTTGATTTCATCACTTTAATATTTTCTCTAAAAGAATGAATATACACTTACTGCTCACCTTGAGCTTCCAAATTGCAAGCAAGAAAAAAAAGGAGCAAATAAGTTGAACAATAAAGACATTCAAATCATGCTTTTTTCTAAAGATTAATATATAAATTTATGTAGACATGTTATCCTATATATACCATATATTATGATTATTGGCCTTATGTGAGTAAGAAGACCATTAAATGTTAATTTCTGGCCTAAAATTTACTGTAATGTGTTCAGATGCATATTGCATGCCATTAACTATTATAAATCAAGTGGGAGAAATTTTTGAGAAGTTCGTGACTGACATACACTCGCAAATATTTGTAATTGCAAACCAGTTATACTCTATTGGGATGCTCATTAAAGAAGAAATTTCAATCGCAAATATTAGTATAGTCATGAATCGTGTTTTTCATCAAAGTTGCATCAACAGTTTGCAAATAAAAGATTTTGGTGAATATTTGTTGTTTGACAGTAATTATTGAGTTGTGTTAGTAAATGATATTTTGAGTGAGTTCTCGCTATCAAAATCAATGCCACTGATTTACTGTATCATTTCCGTGAAGTAGATCAAAGCACTGACAGCGTTATGAAATATTCAACATGCAGTCTTTTACTGAGAAGAGTGAATGAATCTTGACTGTGAATGATGCTCATGCAGAAGAAGCGTGCGGAAAAATGAATGCAATGTACACATTCAAAGTTTGAATGAAGATAAATGCTCTAGAATGGCATAAAATAAATTTAAAGATTCAGAAAATTGACATAAGATCTAACCAGCAATTCAACATTCAATTTTTTATTATTATGATAATTTAAAGGTCAAGGACATTTTTCTGGCTGTTAGACTAACAGACAGTGAAAAAAAGTGCAGAATTTTTGTCAGCACAAACAATTGAATTGTAAGACTATTGATACTGATATTAAGAGATAATATGAAAGGTGAACACAATAAAATATATTGTGTCTCTATCGCAACATCACCTGTACATACATAAGAAAAATAAAACCCTGAGTTCTCATGCATCTTTTAATATTCAGATCCAACATCCCCCCCCCCCCCTTTTCCAAAGTCAGAAAAAATATTTGGATATCTTGCACTAAAACTGCCCACTTCATTAGTTACAGAGTAAGACCTAAAATTGTTAAAATTATCTAAATATAGTTATTTACCTAATTTCAAACACATGTTCATCTAGATCTAGTAAGGTTTTTATGGATAAGTTTTCGTTTCAGAGTGTAAATGCTTTGATATTTGTACATGTGGTTTGAGATGATGTACAATATTAACTTTTGAGTGTTCTGTACATGTATACCTGTTAATTACAGTTAGTAAACAAGTAGGGGATGTTAATAAAAATTGGCTTTAATACCTTTGTTATTGATTCCCATATATGATAATCCATAGCAAATACAGCTACCGTAAGTCTAAATTAATTGGACGAATTGACTTGTTGTGACAAGTAGAAACAATTTGTATGAGAATTTATCAACTATAAGTGTCATATTTGTGATATGTGTGAATTTAATTTATAGTATATCAAATTGAAATGAATATGTTTTAATATGATAATTATTAGAGAGAATGCACTTTTTGTTCAATCAGTTTTTTTAATATACAAGATGAACTGATGCTAGGTGCAGGGTGAGACAGATGAATCTTCTTTAAGTGCATTTGAATTAGCATATATATATATATATATATATATATATATATATATATATATATATATATATATATATATATATATATAACTTTCAGAACATCATAAACCCTCTTTGAAATTGATAAAGGAGCATAATATCAGCTGAAAGTTAAGAATTTTAAGGAGGATTGACCCTTATCTAAAGGAGATCATTCAATTCATAATTTAATTTACAAAATTCTTATCCTCTACAGCCCTGATTTGTCTTAAATTTTGCCTTGTGTGGTATATTAAAATTGCTTTAATTTCATTCCTCCCCCCCCCCCCCATTTCATTTTAAAAATTGTCATTTTTACACAAAATGACAAATTGAGAGCATAAAGTCTTTTTCTCATTAGTTTGTGAGTGTGTGGTCCTAGGTTTGTATCTCTTTAATGGGGGAGCTAAATCAAGCCTGATTTTTATCATTCATGCGAGTATTAAGTACATGATAGGCTCATATGCAATATGTAAATTTCCTCACTCCTTCATTAAGTGAAATTCACCACACGCATTAGTACTTGATGGTTGTTTACTTGTTGATCAGTGTATCATAAACTTTCCTTATTCAGCTTTTACGAGGTTGCGATATAATGATGATAATCATGCACACAAAAACAAACTATCCATTTACGAGACTCTCATACAAGCTCTTAGAAGGTCCTTAATATTAATGTCTGAAATGGTTTAATAATAATGGCATATTCATTAATTTCCTGTTTAAACAAAATAAGAGACAACTTTATTTTTTTTTTAAAAGCAACAAAAACTTGCACTGCTGTAAGAACGTCTTCCGTCTTTTCAATCTATTAAATCGGCTTCCTCTTTTCCTGTACTACTCATTGTCAGTTAATGCTTATGTTCACAAGTGATCATTAAGCAATGGATTAGGGATTAAATATAAGTTATTTTGACAGTGACTGCACGTGCACACAGTACTGGTGCATTCCATATTAAGTAGATCCTGTCCTATCTGACAGATATTACCTATTGTGGAATGATCCAACATAAGGACTTACTTTCACACATGAGTAACTGTGTAAGTGGTAGAGGGGATGGTGTTTTTACAACTAATTGTAAGAATTATGTATGAAAATATAGACCGTGAAAGCATATGCATTCCATTTAAAGGGACAGTGTCTGGGAAAAAGTGAGGATGATATAACTCAAAAACATTTTTAAAGCCAACCTCTAAATGACAATGAAACGATGCTTGTTAAATCAACTAAACTGTCACTTTTGATGGACTTACATACTTAGATTGGAAAGAAAGTTTAAACTCTTATCAAATGTGGGCAGTTTATTTTCATGAGGAATTTTAAACGAAAAACATTGCCTTGACTTGAAATTATTTTCATGTAGAGTTTTATTTCCAAATTTGTTTTGGGATCATGGCCACCATGCCTGTGTTCAATCTGGAGAGTTCTTTCAGGTAGGTGCTTCCTGAGGACAATGGTGTATCTTAATAAGGCAGAAACTTAAGATTGGTTTCATGACTGAATGACATTACTCTGAGTATGTGTGATGTATGCAGCTTTAAATTATAGAGTATAATTAACTGCTCATTTGAAGTTTAAATAATAAATTAAAGTGCAAGAATGGAAATGGACAAAATCAATTCCAGAAATGTATGATCAAATTTAATCTTATGCACTTTGAATCATCTACTTGAAAAACTTAAATTTCTTTTATGAATTCAGAAATAATCACAGTTGGCTAGACTTGTTTCTTTTTTGTCAGCAAGTGATCATGAATAGTTAGATGATATTAATTAAATACCTATATACCGGTATCATTCAGCTAGAGAACTGTGCTGAAGTTAGGGTCACCTGATCAAATTGAGGGTTTATTTCAGTTATAAAGCTGTGAAACCCATGAAAACCTCAGCTTATTGTAACAGGTGAATAAATATTAACTTTCCATAAAGTTATGTAAGAGATCTTCCGCATTGTTCAAAGGAGTTCAATCGCTCTATATATAATTAATGGTAATTCCAGCATGGATATAACTCTTCCTAAGAAAGAATTATTTGAAAATGCATGATTGATAATATTCAGAATACTTTCTGCAAATGTCATGCCACAAGATGTGACACTTTGACAGATGTCCAATTTTCTCAACACTATGAATAACGTATGTGTTTGTTAATACACAAATATTACATGAAAAGCTTAAGATTCAACAGGAAGCAAAGATGCATGAAAAAAGTGGGTGTGTTTACTTCATTTTGGGTTGAACAGACAACCGTGACTGATTGTACACACCCGGGTAATACAAAGTTCATGATCGTGACCCATTTAAAATCAAAGTAGCAACTCGTTCATTTAAATTCTGTCTATAAAAAATCAATCAAAGGATTTGTAAAAGAATCTTCTTTGATCATTTGGGTAAAACAATGATTTCTATCTATGTATTGTATGGTTCGGGCAATAACATTAAATAAACACTCCATTACAAATTCCAATGGGTATACATGTATACACAGTGTGAATAATTGGTGATCTAAAAAAAAAGTGGGTTGTTCTTTTAATTTTTGGTATATGACTATTTCCAACTCAATTACTTCACAATACATTCAAATATTCTGTAAACATGTTGGCGGTTGCAGGTTTTTTCATTGTTTGACTTATGACATCTTTTCATTGCAGGAAATGTCATATTGACTCTGATCAGGAAGACTTCATAGAACACAACCTCCAGGATCACAAAGAACCAAAATCAGCTCTACCAAATGGAGTAAATAGTCACACAGATCTACCGATAAAAGAAAAAGACAAGGAAAATATAAATGTGCCTAAAACTGGGGATATTGTGTGTGTTCAGACAAGAACCAAGCACCCTCTGTTAAGGAAGAGTTCCAACATCACAAATGATTCTGGTCATAGCTCAGTAAGTGACAACGAAGACAACGTATTCAGGGACCACGACGATGACGGGAGCAGACGACACAGCTTGACAGTGGTTGATGCCACTGGTCACCTTGATGTGCCTACAAACTTGGACTGTCTCAAAAATACATCTCAATCGGCGAGTAGTTCAGCCCTTCATGCTTTTCATTTTCCTCATCAAAGAAATGTGCCCCGCATTGCCTACAGTCTATCAGAAGAAACCTTAGGTGTAAATAGACTCGGTGGTGGACGATCCCCGCAAGGATCACCACGGTTACGCAGGCAGCCAACAATGGAGACCAGTAGTTTTTCTGTTGTGGATGGTGCTGACGGCTATGTGCAGCTGAATCAGTATAAACTCAAAAATGAAATTGGCAAGGTATCATCATTTATGTTCTTCTGGGGGTAATATCAAATATAGGCTTGTATTGTCTGTGCACAGAGTTATCTTTAAAATGATTAAGAAAAGGTGTTTTTTTTTAAATTGAGGAGGGTGTGAACTGGGACTTTTCACACAAACATATATTTCATGAAAGGTACATAAAATCTTCATGAACTTTTAAAAAATGAAGTCCAATATTTATATCTACATTTTACATGATCATCAATTTACCATTCAAATACAATCATATAAATAAAAAAAAAGTAGCCTAGAATGATTATTTCTTCAAATTCTTTGGTATGTTTTCATTGTTTTGAGCTCACCTGGATGTGTGTGAATTTGAGATGTTTCCATTAATTGCAGAGGTCATTCTATCATGATTTCATTTATCCCCAGGGTTTCTGGTAAAACACATTCTCTGGCAAAACATTTGCAAGCTCATGACTTTTGGAACACATTTAACTTTCAATAATGTAGCCTGTTTGTTCTCATGCAGTCTCATGGACCTACTGAATTCAAAATACAAACTACATGTACTGTAGATTCCTAAATATGCGTGAGGAATTAATTATCACATAATTTCGCAAGCAGCACCACTCAGGAAATAAAATTACTTGCTTTTATTTTTATGGTGCTGAAATCAGTGTAAAATTTCTTGATCAACTGTCTACTGGCATATTATTGTTCTTGCGATTTGATGTTAAAGAGCCATTTCAGGATAATAAGTGTTCAGGAAAAATAAGGAATCTACAGTATGTGTTCATATACACCTGAAGCCATATTGCATCGAGGTTCATATCATGAGTAGGTGTCCTAGTGAAATCAGTGATGTTCTACAGTTAAAACATTATGTCTAAACTGTGAATTATCAAAAATAGAAAGAATATGGCCTTAAAGCAAACTGGCCATGGGTGTACAGTTGGACTCGAAATGAAGGTACTGGTATGTGCAGACAGTCTGTCTCAAAATATATAATAGGACAAGTTTCTCAGTGTAGATTTTGGGTTTAGGTTTTAAATAGTAGCATATTCAGTGAGATGAGCAATGCTTGCTTCTTGGAGCTCTGATGTTTTAAAGGTATTTTGAGGTGTAGGACAATTTACTTTGTGGCAATTTCAGCAGCAGTAAACAGTTTTTCTGTAAATTGGAAATATTTGATCAGGACAAGCTACAGTAAGATATTTCAGGCAAAGCAGTGGTCCCAAGGTGCAGGGTTAAATTCTAAGAGTATGTTGAAAGGGCATTTACATGTCAAATTCAGGGGAAGAAATTTTAGACTTCTGCTGCTGCTGATCAAAGTTAACTGAAAGAATATTATATTACAAATACAATGCTTCTGTGCAGTTTATTGTTCTAGAAATTGGAGATAAGCCACATTGATATTGACAACAGAAATCATATTTCAATATATTGCTGTTTTTGACTTCAAAGGAAAGGGCATATATTTGAAATGAATTAAAGTACAACATGCCATATACTGGTATAAACAGATGAAGGATTCCCACAAAGTAATCGTCAACTAGAAATTGCATACCCTTTAGAAAATCAATTTAAAAATCCTTTGCATTATTAAGTAGTGACTGGTATTTAAGTATACTCTATTCAACACCAAACAAAAAGCATCAGATATTATCTGTAACCTTTTGATGTTTAAATTTATCAATATACCAATTTGACTTCTTCAGTCTTTAATGACCGGGTCAAATAGGCATTTTTTTTTAAATCTAGTGTATGCTGTATTTTTATACCCCAGCTCCAAAGGAGAGGGGGTATACTGTTTTACCCTTGTGTGTCTGTCTGTCTGTCTACTTGTCTGTGTGTCTGTCCATAACAAATTTTCGTTGCAATTTTCTCAGCAATTACTCATCACAGATGATTGCAATTTTAGCACAATCTTTTTTTAGGCATGCCATATGGTGGGATTCATTTTTGTTCGAATCCGATGTCAACTTCCTGTTTATCCATGCGTCTGTCTGCACCAAATTTCTGTCACAGTTTTCTCAGCAACTGCTCAGTGCAGATGCTTGAAATTTTAGCACAATCTTTGTTAAGGCATGCCAAATGGTGGGATTCATTTTTGTATGAATTTGATGTCAACATGAGAATGTATATTCACATCACAGCGGGGGTATTACTAGTGAGCATGCCACATCTTGTTCAATTTGATCTACATTTGGACTACACCAATTCATTAAATATTTTTTAAAGACAATTCACATGCTTTTTACTTGAGAATATTTCAATCACACCAACATATCCCAGTTATTCTTATTTCTATATACAGTATTGTGTTCAATTCAAAATAAGATCAGAGATTAGTATTCATGACGGAAATAAAGATGGCATTGAAATGTTGCTCATCAAAAGATCATTTCTTTATTGCCATGCACATAGCCCATTTGTTTTAATTAAAAAAAAAAATATCCCTTTTCTGCACAAAATATTGATTTACATTACTTATAAAGAGTGGATTTTCTTTTTTTATAAACAAATAGCTTAAACTTGTGATAGAATTACCCAGAGACATAGATGAAATTAATCACGGTAAACAGACTGCTTTGTGGGTGTCCCTTGGCTATCCAGTAATGCAATATTCAGACTGGGGAGCGTGACAGACTCAATATTTCTCCTGTATGCAGTAGAAGCATGTTGTTTGTCCTCTGTGGATACTAATGAAATAAGGTTAACTCATTCTTGATGGCCATGAACATGCAGCCTTAATCTTATTTCTTTCAGGAAGAGGAAAGAATTGACTGAAACAAAATTCAGATGTATATATACAGTATTTATAAATGATAAGAATGATAATGATATAGATTAAGAGAAATATTTAACCTGGTCAATGTATCAATAAGTGGAACTCTGTAAAAATTAAATAATATTTATTATATTTCTCTGAAATGCTGTTTATAGTAGCTAGATTAATTACAGTAGATACTACAAATTTAACATTAGTACTAAATTGTCAAAATTTTGCAGAGAAATTTATCTTTAATGTATAAATACGCACAAAATGCAAATTTTTCCATAAACTGTAGCTGCATAATAATTTAATGGATATGGCCAGTTTTAAGATTTTCAATCTTTCATGTTACATGTATAAACATTCTGTACCTTGAAAAAAAAAAACCTTTGCTTATACAGATTTATATCTTTCACAGGATTATATTACATCAGCTGGTCCTTGGGAAAAAAACAAACCAACCAACCTTTGCTTATACAGTTATGTAATATCTGTATTATATTACATTAGGATTTATTTTTTTTATTTACAGGGTTCTTATGGCATTGTAAAACTAGCGTACAACGAACAAGATGATGTTCATTATGTAAGTACTACACCATATCCTCAGTTTTAACTCTACTGGTCAAAGACCAGAGATGCATAATGCATTGGTAAGATGTTCTTTGCCTGTCCATCTGTTTGTCTACCTGTCCAGTTCTATAAACCTTGATACACAAGTAGACTACACTTCATTTCCATGGGTGTTGCCATGGTAACTGAAAATAAAAAATTGTTTGAAATTCTTTAAAAATGCTACTCCTCCTACAGTACTAGTTTTGGTCCAATTCCAGTAGAACAAGTAAATTATAAGAAGATACATAATTCTTTATTATTATTTATGAAAAAGGATGATACGATGGTTATTAAAAATTTAAAAAAAAAAAAAAAAAAAAAAAAAAAAAACATTCTGTGAGATTCGTTCAAAATGCCCCTTTTACAGTTTGGGTCCGATTTCAATAGAAACTGATACACAAGTAAATTTAACTAAGATACATCACTCTACTTATTGGTTTTTAGCTCACATGAGACAATGGCTCAAGTGAGCTTTTCTGGTCACATGTTGTCTGCCATCTTTCTGTAAACTTTTCACATTTTCGACTTCTTTTTAAGACTCACTGGGGCCAATTTGACTTCTTTTTAAGACTCACTGGGCCAATTTCAACCAAGCTTGCCACAATGTATCCTTGGAAGAAGGGGATTCAAAATGAAATTGTTCAAATGAAGAGTTGCAGAAGTATCCTCAGATTATTAAGATTCAAGTTCGTTCAAATATTGACTGCCAGGGGTAGGGTGGGGTCTCAATAGGTGATCAAAATTTTCACATAGGAATATTTAGGAAAGAAAGACTTTAAAAACCTTCTTTTCAAAAACCACAAAGACATGTTTAGTTATATTAATATAGAAGCACCCTCAGGGGGTGTAGATACAAGTTTTTTTAAATTAAGAATCCCAGGGGTAGGGTGGGCCAACAATAGGCTAGGTGACCAAAATTTTAGATAGGAATACATAGGGGGGAAATCTGATGATGAAGAACTGTATGTCCATAGTGACTAAGGTAAGCAATGTTGGCCATGGGCCTCCTGTTAACTTTGACAAATATTGTTACTATGGTTACTTAAAGTAGCAATATCCATGAAATTCTTTCAAAATGGTACACCTCCTATAGTTCCAGTCTGATTTCAATATAAATTTGATACACAGATATACAACCCAAATTCAATGCTAATGTATCAGTTTTGAATTTCTCTGAACAATGTTGCAATGTGACTGTATAAAAAGAATAATATGTGGAATAGTCTTTTAAAATGCTACTCCGATACAGAAACTACCGGTAAGGCCTATTATTCTAGTTTACCATAGTTCTAGTTACCATAGCAATATAAAAAAGAATATGTATGTTATATACATAAAATCTTTCAAAATGCTTTTCTTCTAACATTTTTTCATTTGCTTGGTTCATGTTTGGAAAATGTGAAGGTACACAATTCCATGTTAAACTATAGATAAAAGTTTCAAGTCCAGGTGCTCTTTTCTCTGTAATAAGTAAAAACCAGTAAGTCACTGACTTCTGGTTGAAAGGTTGCAGATACAAAGTTTTTCTTTAATGAACTCGGATCATTTTCTCTATATTTATTCCAAACTGGCAACATTTCCAGAAACTGACTTTTAAACCCTTTGACTGTGTTTAATTTATAGAGTTTTAGGCAAAACAAAAAACAAGCAAACAAAAACAAACTATATTTATGGAACTTGTTTCCAAATATAACAACTGTGAATGCCTTTTTGGCCATAGATGTAGGCAGTATACTGTGTTGAATTAAATTATTTTGGATTCAGAAATTGACTGTGTTATATTTACAAGTAGAAGTGTACTGGTACTTATCTCTGTGGTAATTTCTTATGACAGGCGAGATTTACATAAGTATTTATTTCCTGTCGGCTATTATCTCGTTCATTATTAGGACATTTAGGGTAATTAAGAGCTAGTCTGGCCTCTCCATGTTTGTTTGTAGTAGCTACTAGCTCATCATAATTCACCAGGTTTCCTTATCTTCCTGAACAAAAAATCAGATTATGGTCTTATTTTCTCAACAAGACCATGGTCTGAAATATTGATGCCTCATTTCAGTTCCTGAGTTGCATAATGATTGAAGGAACTCTTGCCTTCTTTTACTGTTACGAAGGGAAATGTAATAATCGATTGTGGTAAGGGAGGGCTTTTGTGAAATTGGTTACGTAACTTGTCAAAGATTGTTTAAAGTAAATTTCATTTTTCAAAAAAAAAAAAATCATCAGGATATCAAAGAAGTGTTGGAAATGAATAATCCTTGGATGAAATTACTAAGTTGTACAGATTGCTCTTAAAAAAGCCTCTTGGTAGACAGTTTTCGGAGGGATTAGATGCATTGTTTAGGTTTGTTACCATGGTGATTACAATAAAGCTCTGTTTTCTTTAACAAATAAAGGTCACTTCTATGATTTCCCACAATAGATTGTGTATTCTTCCTGATTGATTCTTCCGATTCCCACTACCTGAACTTCTTGTCAGTGGTAATATTGAAATATTTAAGTGTCCGTCCACTAAATTTATGATCAAAAAACAACTGTGTATAAAACTGGGTTTATAAATAACGGTTTTTCTTTTCTTCAGGCAATGAAAATTCTTTCCAAAAGCCGGTTAAAGAAAAAAGCTGGATTTTTCAGTAAGCTTTTAGCTTGTTTAGTGATATTATAAATAATGTAACATGTTATATATAAAGAGTTTATTGATATGGTCTTCATATTGCTTCAAAAGTTTGACAGAAAAAAATAATGTTCTTCATTTTTGAAAAACATATAAATTTGTATTTTTTTGACAGGAAGGCCTCCTCCCTCCAGGGATGGCAAACAAGTAGCTCGCCCCCTTGCCCCGATGGATCGGGTTTACAGAGAAATAGCTATTCTGAAGAAATTGGACCATCCAAATGTTGTCCGCTTAGTGGAAGTCTTGGATGACCCAAATGAAGACAATTTATACATGGGTAAAAATTAATTCTATACATGGGTAAAAATAATTTTTTTTTTACAATTTCACCACTCTTAGGATACAAAATTCTCAGGGAGAATGGGGGATTAAACTTTTGCTTGGCAGATGAGACTTATTTTCGTATTTTCTTTAACACATGCAGCTACTATTAAAATTGAAAGATTATTTAAAGTTTGGTGATACAAGATTTTGAGGGTTGATGCTTCTTTGAAATAGTATACATCAGTTACTGGCTATGAATTCACGTAGAGTTTGAATTGGTGTCCTGTATTTTTTCTCCATGATGAATGAATTTAAGTTGTAGGATTAATATTACTATCTCTGAACTGTGTCACAAATACCCAACCAATGCTGACTGAAAGAAAGCTTTCATAGAAAATTAAAAAAAACTTCCTGTGAACCAAAGAAACAATAGCCCTGTCTGCTCCTGTTTACACATAGGTTATTGTTCCCAACAGGATCAAAGGTGCTTGTTGTTTTGAGCCACACAGATCAAGAGAAACAAGCTAATAGCATATGACCAATTTTCATTTCCATAAAAACTTGTGATCCCTGTGAGGCTTAATGAAATGCAGTATTTATACCCCGGTGAAAAATTGATGTTTTAATAATATTATGGAGGTTAATGCTCTGGTGATCAACTCCATTACTCACACCAAAACAAAAGAAATTAAGGTCATGAAAATGAGTAAACAAGTATTTGATCTCTTATAAGTTCCAGCTTCATCAGTACTCAACTTTTTGTTTGAAGCAGTTAGTATGGCCTTGAATACCTTGTACCTTGAAGTAGGACATACCAGTGCTTGTGCACCAAAGAATCTAATAAATGATATACACAACAAGAGATTCACACCTGATTCATGGTTTCTCTTAAGGCTCATCATCCCTCTGTGCACTCATATGAAATTTTGCTTTAATGCTAAATAAGAAATCTGAATTCCTAAGTAAAATGCATAACATTTTAGTTTGCTAGGCAAAATTTGACAAAAATTTCCCTATAACTAATGATAATTATTTAAAGGAATGAAAGTCATTTATCCACGTTAGAGTTATCTCTCTTATCAGAGGGTCATTGAACCTTAACTGATGTGGCATTCCACTAAATCTACATGATTTCAACTCTATAATTTCATATGAGAATGAGGTGCTAAAGATTTCAAATTTCTTGATCTAGCCAGCATGGTTCAGGGCCCAGGTTGGGGAAAAGTGTCTTAAAATGAAAATGAATTAGTGTTTCATAGAAAATTATATTTATACTTGCATGGACATTTAACAAGCAAACAGCAGGCATGATGAAAGTGGCCTTTGAGTCCCTTACCAAAGTGATAAATTTGTGTCCCAATTGGCTCATTACCCAGGATGGGGCTAATTAAGTTGCTTGTACTCGTACATTTAATAGCTTAATTTAGTTTACTGTAAATCACCAAATTTTCACTACACCTTATTTTGGCAAGATAGTTATTTGGTATTTAAAAGCGAAACAAAATTTTTATGAATTCTGATTATTGTTGCATAAAATCTTAAGAATATAAGTATACATGTATGTGAGAATGAAATTTTTGTGAGCATGCAGGTTGTCTCAAGTAATTGCATGAAAAATAAAGTCCTTGTGAATAAAAGGTGAAAATATATCATTAAAAATCTGTACTCTTGAGCATCTCCACATCTATAGCATAATTATTTTGTTTTTTGTATGTTTCAGCCTTTGAACTTGTTGAAAAGGGGTAAGTATAAATTTTTTTTTTTGGTTTCATTAAATTTATTCCTTCCCTATATTTCCAAACATATTGCTTATTGGCTAGGATGGGAAGGAATAGATAATTCACGAGATACTTTAATTGAAACATAGGAGTTTATGTTGTTCTTCACATTTGAGTTCATTGGTGGTAAATTGATCACCAGTAATCACATTAGTCTGTGTTGCGGATGAATTAATTACTCTGATTATCATTTTTGTAAGTTTATTGGTGTTTTCAATATTGCCATTGGAGTTGACGTAGGCCTTGATTGGAGTTGACATAGGCCTTGACCTTTGACCTTGAAATTTGTAATGATATGCAGAACCCCTGTTGTGTTTAATCTATCATTGCTATCATCTTCAAATTTTGTGCTTAGATAAATAGGATTCCGATTGTATTTTGAAAACCTTATTGTTAATGTGTTTACTCTGATTAAAACTTTGATTGTTGTATGCTGCAAACTGGAGGGTGAATGTTTGTTATTAGCAAATTATTTAGGACCCTAACAAAACACATTACTTGGTAGTATTTCCTTGTTACTTGTATGAAACACTTAACTTCTAGTCTCTACTAACCATGAATCTGGTTTGAGTTAAGCTAAAGCATGGAAATTAGTTTTAATCTTTTTTTTTTTGACAGAGAAGTGTTAGAGGTGCCCACAGACAAGCCTCTGTCTGAAGAACAAGCATGGTCATTCATGAGAGACATCATACTGGGAACAGAATACTGTAAGAAATCTATCCTATATATGCAAGCAGATTTTTTTGAAAGTCTTATGCATGTTAGATATCCCAAAGAAAGTGTATAAATTTGCTTAATGTTCCTCAAACACTTACACTTCTTTATTAACTCGGTTAGTTATTTCTGGTGTGTGATCGTCCTTGCATGGACAAGCACTTTATCTGCAGTATGTGTCTCAGTCCACCCAGCTGAAAATGTGTACCAGCTTACACTGGAAGTTACATGGTTTTCTTAGTGTAAACTTTATCTACTGATGATACCTTAAATCCATAAATTCAGACCCCACAGGGAAGAAATAAAGTTTGTTGAATGAATTGTTTATTGCTAGCATTGATTTGTTTCAGACAAAGATAGCTACAGGTCATTTATTTGTTTAATATATATATATATATATATATATATATATATATATATATATATATATATATATATATATATATATATATATATATATATTAAACACATAAATGACCTAGCTGTATGTGTCATTTGACATAAGCATATATATATATATATATATATCATGTTTTGAAAATTGTCAAATTTGTATTATAAACAATTAATTCTTTTCAAATGAAAACATGCATTCCTATTGTACTTTCCCAAGAGAAAAAACATGCACTAATTTCTTGTTCAAATCAAACATATTAATGTTTTTGACATTTCTTATGATATTCTGATAATATTTGATAATTATCAACATTTCTGAATGCCAGAGAATTGTGAAATACACATTGTCTTTGAAAGTACATTTTGTGACAAATATTTGAGACTAAATCTATCAGAGAGTGATCTGTATCATTTTCTTCATTTCCTTGGCTTGTGACGAGGGGATTTAACAACAAAGATTTCTCTTTATCATTCCAATGTACCCTAATACCTCAAGTGCCTACACAATGATTTGCCGTAAATCAACCCATTTCCAGAACTTCCTTTCCGAGACCTTGTTTCCTGGTTTTAGTTTCCAGTATAATTACATCTTAGCTAAATACATCAATACAGTGTTGTTATGCCAGCTTAATCTTGTTAGTGGGTTGTCGCTGTAATTAAAAATGAAAAGACATTGTTTGAAATTTGGAAATTGATCTCAGAAAAAAATTCAACCATAAAAGTGATAATTCGGTCAGGTAAACAGCTCAATTTCACTGTCTTTATTGCTAATCCCACTGGAAAGGTTTTGGGTTATTTTAATGCAAGTAACATGCTGAATTAAGAGATGAACAAAGGTTTTATCTGCAGATTTAGAGGGGAAAAAAAATCACCAATAGTTATGTTTCTGTTTTTTGCTTCATTTTTTTTTATTTCCTGCAAAAGCATGACCTAAAATGATTGAACCATCTCTAGTAAACAGCTTTTCTATTAATTAAATATTAATCTTCTAGCTGGCGCAATATGCCCTAGTACATTTCACTACAAAGATTTTTTTTCTGTTTGCAGGAAATGTTTAATGTACTACCTGTACAACCCTGAAATGAAATCTTTGACGATTATTAAAAAAAAAGTATATTGAATTTTCTTTCAGTACATTATCAGAAGATCATTCATCGAGATATCAAGCCTTCCAACTTACTCCTGGGGGATGATGGTCATTTGAAAGTAAGTAAAAATCACAGCAAATGAACTATAAAAAAGTATTGCATTCATTGACATAAAACAGAGAAGTCATCTTATTAAACATCCAGCAAATAAAATCAAATCCAGACAATAGCTTCACAAAAAAAAATTAATGATTTTGATTTATTGATGAAATTGAGGCCATGTACTAGACTTATATCCAAAGGTTATATAACCTTGCAAAGAAACTATGACTAATGTAGAAAAAGAATTAAATGATTACCATATTTGCCCTAAACAATGTCCAATTTAACTCATAGCCCTGTAATTTTCAATAACAGTAGAATTAAGTTCCTGATCCTATTACTGATAACTTGGGAAATATGTTTTATAATTTCAGCCTAGTTTATTTTCTCCTAAAAAGTGTAGTCCTTGTCTGGTGTGGAAGTCTCAGATTTTAGAGGACGGAATCGGGAATTATATTCTGCTTGCATGTTTAGATTCCAGTCTTGATGATGAGGGGAAATGCTGTTATGACATTCTAAGTGCTCCTCTGCTAAATTTTTCCAGGCCCTGCTGCTTACTGGGGCTAACATAGTGATCTTTTTGCTAAATATTGATAATATTGAAAAAAAAAATGTAAGTAAAATTTCCTATTACAGATTGCAGATTTTGGGGTCAGTAATGAGTTCACAGGAACTGACATCACGCTGACAAATACTGCAGGCACGCCAGCCTTCATGGCTCCAGAAACCCTCAAAGGTACAATTCATACCATATTTATTATATTTTAAGTGTCCTTGTATAACTTTTAAAAATGAACTTGATTATTTACTTTTAGCTATTTTTTTTCCTTTCCAGAGGAAAAAGAAAACTTCAGTGGAAAGGTAAGGGCTTTTGAAATGTGCAAATTATCCTGGCTGTTCTTGTCATAGAGAGCATTTTCCATCGTGGAACTACTAACACGTAAAATTAAAATGAAATCTATAAGTTGCTCTCTGGAATGATGGTTAAAATATCCGGACTACTAGCTTTTTCAATCTCAAGAAAGTTTGAATGGGAAGGCATAACACCAAAAAATTGAAATTTCCTCAGAAAGTGCAGGTATGATGAAAATAGTTTCACTTGTGTAAGTGAATTAATTTGGATGTAAGACCTATATAGTTAGACATGGTTGATTTACTAAGAGAGTATGTTGCACTATAAGAGACATCACTGTTTCATTTTGTTCATCTTCAGCTTTTTTGCACTGAATATTTGTGTCACCTTGTCCTAATGAGATGCTATATAGCATGACTGATATTTAAAATCCACCTTCCAAATTAAAAAAAAAAAATGCATTGTTGTTGATGAGCAATTCTAGTATCTCTACAGCACACAAAAAAAAAATCAATCACCTATACATGCATTAGCTATTAGATACTCAATACACTGCGGCATGAGAGGATGGTATATTGTCAAATAACTACCTGGTATTGTTTCATATGACAATTACTACAAATAGATGGGAATACAACACAGGAAATCCATATCGGTATCAAAAGATAAAAGGACATAGCAGGCTTCTGATTCTTCATAGACCTAAAAAGATTGATTTGTCAACAATATCCCAAAAGAGAAAAAAATACAGCAGGATTAGTATAGTCTGAAGTCACTGGGTACACGTATGGGAGGGAGCAGGGCTATTGTAAAAGTAGACTATAGTGACCAAATGCTGCGACAATTTTATTGAATTTCTCCTTGGCAGTCATGACAGATTGACAGGAAAAGTGGAAGAAAATGAAGATTTAGCTGTATTTTTTCCCACAGGATTTCATGAGAAATATTGCCTATCCCAAAACATAATAAAAGGTCTGTCAGAACAGAGAAACAGTTCTGCCAGAACTAGATTAACGCTGCAGCCGTACAAGTTCTAGATGACCATTTAAAAGCCATTATTCAGAAGTCTAAGGTGATTCTAGGACACTTAATGACAGGTCTACTGTCTTAATGCATTTTCAAATTAAATTTGCTGGTGGTAGGATAGAGATTGAGAAATGTTGCCTGCCTGTATAGGACTGGAGGAGGAGCATTTATTGTAATCAAGGGGTCTGGAGATTTTAAATAAGCAGTAGATTTGTTTCCAATACAAGATTATCCCTTTACACAGCTAGGCTCATTTGTATCTGTCAGGGACGTGTAAGATTACATACTATAGTATATAATTAGAAGTATGTATAATGCATGTAAGGTGGCATGAAAGGAAGAATTTAAAGTTATAGAGAAGATGGATTCTGATGTAACTGTTTGATAGGTCAGTGCCCATGCATGTATAATGAACTCAGTTCTATGAAATATATTTAGGTTGCATCATAATACAGTTGATTTGCATACTAATATAAAAACGCCTTAGTTCAATTTTGATAGGGTCTTTTTCTTTTTTTCATTATATTCCATTAAAACACTTTTTGATCATGATAATATCGAATTAATTTAGCTTTCATATCCAATTAGAAGCTAAAAAGGGATGACTTTTAAGACACACAATTGTATTACCACAATAATAATGTCAGTTGTTTCTGTTTTAGGCAACAGATATCTGGGCCATTGGAGTCACCTTGTATTGTTTTGTAATAGGAAGAGTATGTATTTAATCACTAATAAAACTATTTAAACAGGGCCCCCAAAAGAGATCATAATGGAAAAAAATGTGCAGAAAAACTAATCCAGACATCACTGATTCCATAGAAATTTGCCAACATTAGACAACATTCTAGATTAAACAGCATTTTAAACAATTGAATTTACTAAAAGAAATATAATACTATACATTCCATTGTAAATAGAAATCTTTCTTCTGAAACAATTTAATACTTTATTTTAATTTAATGGATCATAAAGGTTTAAATTACATCAAAACAGTACATTTTAAAGCAAAATAAAATTCTCAAAAATGTAGCTCATATTGCTTTAACATCCTAATAGACTAGATTTCGGAATACTCAACATCCAAATTAGACAAGTTTAACTGCATCTGAATTATCTGAAAATTGTTTTGCTTTTCTGTTTATATCACAAAATCATTTTATGAGAATATGTTTCTAATGCTTGCATGATCTTGACTTGCACATTCAAATAATTTCAGTGTCCATTTGAGGATGATTTTCCTCTAAGTTTGCACAAGAAAATTATGAATGACCCAGTTAAGTTCCCTGAGAAGTAAGTTTGAAATTCTGTTGTAAAATTTACTAGGTATATATACCCTCTCTCTCTCTCTCTCTCTCTATATATATATATATATTGGTATCCTAATTTAGTTTATTAATTAAGCTCTTACATCTTGTTTTTCAATCATAAAGATATGACTTTTGAAATCTTTTATGAATGATACATTAAAGAGAAAATCAAATGACTCTGATTGGATGAGGGGAAACCATTGTTCCCTTAATTGAGGGAGTTATATATGATTTTGTGATATTGTAGGCCTGTGTTGTCAGAAGAATTGAAAGATCTTATCCTAAAGATGTTGGACAAAAATCCCAATACAAGGATAACACTACCAGAAATAAAGGTAAAAATGTTGATACATAATAAAATAAGGAGTCACAGGGTAAGTAGCTACACTGGAACTGTGAACCAGCTACTGTGCCTTCACAAACACCAACTATTTGAAAGTGTCACCAGCTATTTATGACTGAGTCTACATTTAAGAAGCAAGGGTTAAAAGTTTGACCATAACTATTCCTGTGTAAGGCAGGGTTGGATACCTTGCATTTTTAAATAATTCTTGCTTGGGAAAAAAGTTTGCTTTCAGTTTATCAAATTTATATACATTGTTACTTTAAATATTTATACCAGGGTATATTAATATACAGCTGAATTTTGATATCTTGAATACCATGGTTATATCGCAGTGATTTTGAAGTCCCAAGCAATTTTTCTTTAAGTATTTTACCCTCAATATTGAGAATCCTTGGATATCTCAAAGTTTTACCCCAGTCCCATTGAGTTCAGAATAATGAGGTTTGACTGCAGGGGTTGAAATATACGGTAGCCCGACGCCCGGGGCTGGTCATTTTAAGACTCAGGCTAGCTCATTTAAATGTAACAATAGTCCATCAGACTAGCAGTACGGAAAAAAAATTGATCTTCTGTTTACTTTTTCGCTTTTCTAAGTGGACTGGTTTCTTCAGACTAAGAACTAGTTTAATTCGTTCAAATACTTTATATATGCAAGTCGCACGGGCCAGTCTGACGTAATGCTTATTTCTTGATAACGTCAGAAATACGAATAAAATTATGCGACTTGCATATACAAAGTATTTACACCTATAATGTTCAGTAAATAGTGTGCATTGTTTTAATTTTTTGTACATTTACTCAATCATGGTTCATAAACGCAGGCTATTTTTCATTAATATGCCACATTGCCAAATGTGTGCAATAATCTTTATGTATAGATTATAATTAATTTGAATTTTAAAATTCAAAACAATACACAATAAGTTATCAGCGTCATCAATATTAACACTTCGTAAACACAGGATGCACAGCCAGCCCGACAGCGCTATATTTATAACAACGTCATGAATAGGAATATATCCTATTTTCATCAAATAACAGTGGTTTTCCACTTCTTGTAGTGTCTCTGAAATTTATACACGGTTGAAAAATCGTATACACCAATTACAAATCAATAGACTAAATATTTTCCAATAAATTTAAGTTGTTTGAATAAATATTTTGTTTTTGACGACGTTTCAACCATATTAAAACATATATAATTGTATGATTGGACGCTGTCCCGTTTGGATGGCCGACGTCGCTTTTTCTGTCAATTTTGAAACATACTTCTTGTGGTTTTCACTTAATATTTTCATTGTCTATTTAGTAAGCGATACTAAAGGTATCAGAAAATGGCGATAACCGCTTTATTTGAGATATATTAAATTTTTATTCAGCTTTGACTCATTTTAAAAAGAAAATAATCATTTCAATCAGATCACTTTATTTAAAAGTTCATGGCATTTTAACCCTGGTCCGTGTGGCACCTACGGCAACCTTTAATGACCAGGATTTTTACAAAAGTATTAAGTTCAAGCAATAAAAACCAAACTATTCTGACTTGGATTTTCATAACTAATATTTTGGTATACAATAAGCATATCTTGAACCATTCATTTTGACAAAAACGCCATTGTCCACGAACTTTTTAGACAACCCTCGTATATTAAAATTTGCTACTTATGAAGAATAGCATTTGATGCAAAAAAAGAGAAATTCAGCTACATGTATACAAAATATATGTTGACTTATACAGGAATTACAATGTGATCACATAATTGCAAGATTAAATTACCGGTATGCATGAAATTTGTATAAAATTTCACAATATTTACATGAATTTTGTACTACTATTTTTTTCTTTTAGGAACATCCCTGGGTAACAAGGGATGGAGAAGAGCCCCTGCCAACAGAGGAGGAGAACTGTGTCCTCGTGACCTTGACTGACGAGGACCTTGACAATGTGGTCAAACATGTGCCAAAGTTAGACACTCTGGTCAGTTCTTTATAGATGTTTGTGTTAGTCACAAGTTTTTTAGATATATTGGATTTCTGTTCAGTATGTAGCATTTAAACTTTACATAATAATTAAAAAAGGAAAGAGTCATTGCCTAATAAATGAGAAAAGCAAATCATGGTTTCTGACATTACTGTCCGACACTGTTTTCCAATAGATATGTGGTATCCTAATTAAAGGTAAATTATGCATCATTAACAGTGACAACCAGGGAAAATTAAGTGGGTGCATGGGAATTAGGAAAATGTTTTTTATATATCCTGTAATTTACTAATGTTGGTATTTTAACATTTTCAACATACTGCATGAGGGAAAAAGGTGACAAGATGAGGACTTGAAAGCTAATTGCAAAATAATAAGTATATTGTTTCCTCTCAGGCAGATATAGTATTCATTCTACCGAGATGTATGCATGCTAGGAGATTGTTAGCTTTGAAATGAGACATGTATACAGCAGAAATTGAAGATTTTAATTTTTTTTTTTGTGGTAGTAAAATGTTTGTTTTAAGAAAGGTACTGATTTTTCCTCTTTCAGATTATGGTGAAGAGCATATTAAAACACAAGTCATTCAAGAATCCATTCAGGGACAACTCCTACATTAAGGAGGAATTTCAAAAAAGTGGGCGCTCTAATTCAGCTCCGGACACATTCCACAGGGTGGTGAAAAGGTACAGAGGAATTTGTAATTACCCGTAATTATGTACCGGTAAAAACCTGCGAATACCCTCTTCAAGTCTTACTCATTTTCTTTAAGAGTACTGTTATAAATGAATTTGCTGGTATCTCAGTACACTTTAGACATCATATCCTTGAAATAAATTGTTCTTAGATTTTCATCCATCATAAACATTTTGAAGTCCACAATGAGTGTTCCCTAAGGAACTTGTGTCTATTTTTATCATTAACAAGTATGTCCTTGGGATTAATGGAGGTATACTTCCTTGCTGGATGGTAATTAGTTTACAGTTGTTCTAAGATGAATGAATCACTGTGGGTGCAATGAATTGAAAGTCAGTTATATCAATATTGATTCACTTTTGAATGTTTGCAGGGGAATATTATTTTGTAAAAAAAAGTAGACAAAAGACTAAGGAAATGGCAAAAATCAATACAGAAGTAAATCTTTTATATTTCTTTTATACAGGAAAATTTCTGCCGATGCCAATGTCGACAAGCCCCTGGCTGAACATTCATAATACCAGTGCCAGCCACCTTATAAACTCCATATATGCAAACTACAACAAGAGTACCACTTTATGCATTCATTATTCAAGATTCCTTTCCCATTTAGGATGTTAATTTTCTGCTTACGAGCCTTGAAAGATGCTCTAAGCGATATAACTAACTTAGTGCATTCAAGCAATTTCCACTTTACTTGTGTTTCGTGACACTGGATTGATCATGGTGTATTTTATTGAATTTTTTTTTAATTTAAGCTCACCTGAGCTAGAATTTCAAATGAGCTTCTTCTGATGGAAGATTGGCTGTTGTCGATCTGAGAGTCTCTGATAGGTTTTGTTGTCATATTTTGAACCATCGTATCATTTAGAGTCATTTAAATGAAGGGCCACACACTTTCCTAGAGAGAGAGAAATGTGGTAATATAATAAACTTTTCTCAGGAAAAAAATGTGTGAGTTGTATGACTTAATTAAAATAATAAATTTTTAAGCAATTTATTCTTATCTATTGCAAATTTAATTGTGATAGCAGCTCATACAAGTGGTCAGAGTTCTGGCTTCATAGACCACTGTAGAAGCTCTTACTTCAGTCTGTCCTCCATTTATACATACATGTAAGCCTGCTTATAACATATGTATATATATACATGTATGTATATATATATAGAGAGAGAGAGGGGTGGGGGGGGGCAGCAATATTCCAAACGGAGAGCTCTATGGAGTTTGATTTTAGCCAGATTGCTATGGATGTGTAGTTGAGAAGAATATAATATTTTTATTAGCTGTAGTATTGGTCAGAATAAGGTAAATGGTGAGCATAGTGGCCCTGAGACCTTTGTTGTTGGTTTTTTTTGTTCCTGTTTGGTGCATTCTGAATTACATGACAATTCAATTGATGTTATGTGAATATTTTAGCATATAGTTGAATGTTGACTGTTTTTACTATTTAATTTCAAAGTTTTGCTGCAACTATAAAATAATTTTTTCCTATTTTTTTTGTAAGGTAGTTTTTATAAAGAATGTATATATTATATGCAAGGTCATATTCCTTCTAGTGTAAATACATACATGTATGTAGATATAGTTTATTTGATATGAAATCTTAAAATGATTGTAAAGGTGAGAAAAATCAAAATGTGAAAGGAATGCAAATTAAATACTAACTTATATATATGTATCTATCATGCAGGGTTTTTTTTTTTCCATTGTATAAATCATACATTGTTATCATTCTCTGTGAATAACACCATTTGATTTTAATTATAGAGAGTACAAAACTTGATTCTGTGTATGATACATGTGTATATCAAGATATCGCTTTTCATATCATTTTAAAATATTAACTATAGTAACTTTTACCCAGTATTTGAAAATAATGACAGTTTGTATAATTTGACCTGTATAGCTAAAATAATTATTTTTAAGACATGCACATTACTTAATTTAACAAGACAGTGTATTTTATAAATTTTGGACACTCTTTGGACATCAGTAGGGATTTGGCCTTGGCACTTGCATGTTAAATTCACCTTCCATGTGGCAGTTTGTTGGTTGATTTGTATGGCAGCTCATTTTGCATTGACTTCTATTACCATGATTATAGTATTTATAAGGAAAAATTATGTAGATTATCCCTGCCTAACCCAATCAAAAGAAAACACACATTTAAAGAATTCATTATTCCAAAGATTGATGTGTTTTTATGTATAGTTTTATTAATTGATTAAATAATTCCTAGCTTTCTGAATGGTTGAGATCCAACAGTGTAGAAAAAAACAATACATCATGTTCACCAGTACATGACTTTCCAGGTGAACATTGGACTAAAAATAGATTGTTAAATTCCAAATTGATACAAATAGTTCTGGAAAGTTATTTCTCTAGCCCGACTTTCACTCAGTTGAACATATCATGCAAGCACATAGAATTGGGGTGGGGTTGGGGTGCAGGGGTCCTGCCCCCTCTGCAAACTTTTTTTTCTTAACGTAAATTTTTAGTTTTAATTTAGTATGAAAATGTTCACTGAAAGGCTGATTGCAAACCCCTTCCCCCACCCCATTAATGGACCCTAACATCCCTCCTGAAATAAAACTTGAAGTTGAGACTGGGGGGAGGGGGGGGGGGGGGGGCTAGTCAAAGATTTTTTTTTTTCCTTGTAATCCTATGTGCCTGACATTTAATTATTTTTTTTTCTACATTGCAATTAGATTAGATTTTTAAAAAATCCAAATTAAGACAACTGGTAAAGTTATGTTTATTTTAACCCCACTTCTCTCAGTGTGTTTGGCTAAGACTTCAGCAAATGTAAACAAGTAAGATGGCATGGATTGCCATATGGTTTGTATCATTTAATCATTGAATTTTATAATAAAACAATTATTGCTGTTTTTTCAATCAATGTGATGGTTTAGCCACCTTCAAAGTACAATATTCACCTAGCCCTTTGGGCTCGGTGAATATTGTCTCCTCAGGTGGCAAGATCATTGTATTGACCTCAAAAACAGCAATGATTGTATAATGAATTTCAGTCATCAAAAATATTTTTATTTACTGTAAGAGTGCAGAGGCTGCATTCATAATTTTATACATTGGAAACATGTGCTTTAGAATCTAGAATTTCTTGACAACATACCATTCGATATTTTTGTTGAATTTCTTTATAACTTATATTTTACTGTCACTTTATTTATAGCAAGGAGTGTAGATAATGTAGTTTTGTAAATGAATATATTGCTGTCAATATTTTTAAGTGAAAATAACAACATTCACCATTTGGGGCTTTCAGTTAATTCATATTCCATGAACTTTACTGCTCAATAAAGTACATGGCTCCACCATTTCTCATCAGAATTTCTTTCAATGTTTAATTCAGGGGGTTATGCAGATTAAAAGATTTTCTTTAATTACCAAAGATGCATTCAGCTATCATATTGTGTCTGCATAGGAAACATATCTTCCACAGTCAATGAAGACTTTCATTGAATGTTGTTGTTTCTTCAAAAAATCTTGTAGTTCCATTTAGAAAAGTTGAAATTCCAGAAGAGATTAGATATGTTTTATAGCTGACCTGTGTAATTCACATGGAATGAGGCCATTATGGGTAAAATATAAGGCAGCTTCTCTGGAAAAGTGTGCAGTTTATAGGTGGTTAAAATATAAAGGGAAGAATCACTGAATTGTATCATGATGAGTCATTTCTTTTTTTTTAATTTAACCATGTGATTCATTGATGAGAGTTTTAATTTATTCATCTATTTTATTGTTGGTAATTGAACACCCCACATTTTTTCTATGGCTCTGAAGATTTGCACTATACAGGACCTTTTTTATTCATGAATTACTGTGCACTTGGCTCAATTTGTCATGTACCTTAAATAAGTACATTGTACCTGTGTCTTTTTTCTTTTAGTTACATAGTTTTATTTTAAATGTTTGTAATTTGTACAGACAATTTTTATAAAAACACTTTTTCTTATGAAGTATGTGTACATATATTATATTGTGTAGGGATATTTAAAAATATCGGCAAGACTTTATAGATAGTTACCTATTTTATTGTTAACTCACCTTCTGATTGCCTGTGACCTGGTGTTATTAACTTTTGACATTGTCAAAATTTAAATATGTCAGAGCTGGTCTCTGTTGTTACATCTTTGATGTACGGAGCTCTTTCATATTTTTGTAATTTAATTATTGTGATTTAATCATTCAACACTTGTGGTATTGAATTTGTATTTTTAAGTAGTTTTTTTTTTCTTTTTTTTTTCTTGTGAACATTTTTTTTTATAAATTTTATCATCCTTATAATGCATTGTCAAGTTTTATTGAATATTACATTAAAATGGAAAATGGAATGGAATTTTTGTTATCAGTAAAACAAACTGAACAGACAGTTCCTTTACAAGATATGGAAAATGTGATTATTCAGAGGTTGTTGTCACTCACAGTGATAGACTAAACTCTATAACCCCCCTGTTAAAAGTATTAAAAACTGATTTATATTCTGGATATCTGAAGCAGCAGCTAGTATGGTATTACAAACGTTTACGTGTACTTACATGTGATTACCTCAGTTAACAATGAAATACAAGAACATTTCCAATATAATAAAAACTCTAAAGTATACATTACAGGAAGATTTTTCACATAAACAAGAACAAGAAGCCAATGGGTCCAAATGCTTTACCAGAGTCATTTATGCTCTGCTGTTTTCTTAGATTTTTTCCCACTTCATTTCATTGAAAAATAACCCCATATTGTGCCCTAACATAGCCCTAAGGGGATATGATTAAGACAAACCTGAAGCCACAAAACATTGGGATGCTTCAATATTGATATGACTAAGATGGCTTTACTGTTGTTCTAGAATTTATTATTAACTCGCCTCAAAAAAGACAGAGGGAGTTTAAGCTAAACTCTTGGCGTTGGTGTCCAGGTTAAAGTTTTGGGAGCAGTTTTCTTTCCAAGTACTTCTATGTTCTATACAGATCAAAGCTGCATGGATGATGCATCTAGTATGTTTCATTGTACTAGTCAGGTTTCAGATGCTGCATTTTCAGCCAATATATTCCATATTAAGGATGACCTAACTGGACCAAACTTGCACGGATGATGCACATTGGGATGCATACTACCATATTTGCTATGGATGCTGGATCTGACCTACATTTTCCAGATGAATGAACAGGTTAAAGTTTTTGGAGCAGGTTTCATTCCCAAGTAACTATAAGCCAAGTGGTGACTTAACTTGCAAGGATGATGCATTTAGAGATGCAAAGTAGTTGACGCTACTAGACTTGCTTCAAGTGCTGGATCTGACCTACACTTTCAGGATAAGTAAACACGTTAGAGTATTTAGAGCAGGTCCATTCCAAACTTACAGGGATGATCCATCTAAGCATGCACACTATCATATTTGCTTCAGATGCTGGATCTGACCTACATTTTTCCAGATGAGTAAACAGCTAGGTTCAAGTTTCGGGAGCAGGTACTCCAAAGTAACTATAATCTTTACCTATACCAAACTTGAAGGGATGATGCATCTAGGAATGCACATTCCCTAACCTGCTTCAAATGCTGGATCTGATCGTCATTTTTCAGATGAGTAACTATAAGCCCTAAATGCACCAAATTTACAGGGATGATGAATCTAGGGATGCACACTTCCAGACTTGCTTTAGATGCTGGATCTAACCTACATTTTTCAGTTGAGTGACCAGGTTAAAGTTTTTTAAGCAATTCCATTTCCAAGTAACTATAAGCATTATCTGGACCAATACTTGGATTATGCATGTAGGGATGGATGCTACCAGACTTGCTTCAGATGCTGGATCTGACCTATATTTTCCAGATGAGTGAACAGGTTAAAGCTTTGGGATCAGGTTCATTCTCAAGTAAATATAAGTCCTACCCAAACCAAACTTGCATGGATAATCTTGGGATGCACACTAAAAAAAAATTGGTTGAGAATTGCCTTACTTTTAGATAACATTCATTGAACTACCTTTATTATCTTTGATTACCTATGTTTTACAGATTTTTAACCTTGAGTTGTATACTGGTGCATGCATTATGTAAATTTGATCCCCATTTTTAGCCCCATCCTTACTGAAATGGCCATAATTTGAGAAAAACAAGAGGCCCATGGGCACTTTTGATAGAGAAGAAGAGATTAGTTCAGTATTGTAAAATTTAAATGTACATCTATAAGTGGTCCCACACTACCTAGGAGAGGAAGACATGCTCTGAACAAACTTGAATCTACAATAGTGAAGATGATTCCATATAAATGTAACTAATCGTGGCTTTAAATTTTTTAAAATTGATTTTCTGTTATATATTCCTATTTAAAAGTCTGATCTTCTCTTGTGGCCCCGCTCTACCCCAGGGGGTCATGATTTGAACAACCTTGAATCTACACTGCTTGAGAATGTTATTAGAAAAAGACATTAATGGTAATCTAACAACAAAGCTTAATGATAAACGTGATGACTTTAACTTTTCAATCTTCAACTTCCCTTACATATGCAGCATTATACCCTTATCACCTGCATACTGGGTTTATATCTCTCAGTTGATTCAATACGCCAGAGCATGCTCTACGTATGAACAATTTCTAAAACAAGGTAAGTTATTGACAAACAAGTTGATGAAACAAGAATATCAGCAGTCTCGTTTAAAGTCATCATTTCGTAAGTTCTATGGTCGATACAATGATCTTGTCAGCAAATATAATCTTTCATTAAGTCAAATGCTGACTGACTTTTATCATACTAATTGTTAGGCCATTATTTACATGCTAAATTGTCGACGGATTTTTACGTTATTTCCTGATCATGACAGGGAGCACATGGCGGGTGTGACCGGTTGGCAGGGGATGCTCACTCCTCCATGGCACCTGATCCCACCTCTGATGTCCTAGAGGTCCGTGTTTGCTCTGCACCTATTTTGTAATGTTTAATGGACATTTGAGCTCGAATACTGTTCATTATCTCCACATATTTCATTCCATATTAGTATGACCAATTATGAATCTACGTACACTATCTGAGGATGCTTCCATATAAATATGTAAATATAACTTCTCTGGGCTTTGCTGTTCTTGAGAAGAAGATACATGTATTTAAAAATTTTTGCTATGTATTCCTTTGTAAAACTTTGATTGCCCATTGCAGCCCTGTCCTAACCCCCCCCCCCCTCCCCGAAGGGGTGGGGGTCATGATTTGAACAAATTTGAAGCTACCCTACCTGAGGATGCTTGTATATTGATATGACTAATCTTGCTGCTTCTTGAGAAGAATATTTTTAAAGATTCATTTCCTATATAGGCCTATTCCCATGTAAAAACTTGATCATATTGTTCAAATCATGACCCCCCCGGGGTAGAAAGGGCTATAATGGTTGATCAAAGTTTTACATAGAAATACATAAGAGAAATCTTACAAAATTTTTCTCAATAACAGGTAAGCCACAATATGTTATCAAACTTTTACATAGCAATATATTGGGGGGGGGGGGGGGGGGAGAATCTGATGAATAACACCAGGGCCATAGTTACTCAGGTGAGCATTGTGTCCCATGTGCCTCTTGGATATTTTCTTCCATATCAAGAAAGCATGGCCTTTTATTTGAACAAACTTGAATTTCCCTCACTCAAGGATGCTTTTTGCTGAGTTTGGTTGAAATTGGTACATGGTTCTGGAGAGGTTGAAAATATCAAAAGTGAACATACAGACAGATGAATGACAGACACACATCAATCAGAAAAGTCCTCTTGAATTTCTGGCTTAAGTGAGATAAATGTGATAAAGTCAGACTGTGTACCACAATATTCTTAAATCAGTAACCTTTTTACCCTGATTTTGTCCACACGGGAGAATCAATAATTTTGACCTTGATCTTTGAATGAAAAGATCTCAGAGTCTTTAGGCATCTTTGTCTAACCAATGTTTAGCTATGTCGTGAAAATAGTTTTTAAAGGTTAAAAAATACTTGAGAAATGAGCAATGACATTTATAATAGTCTTGTCTTTGGCCAAATCGTCTGTTAAAGTGACACCAAAATAACTTTTTCTCCAAACCATTATCTATGTATCAAATATAAAGAACTTGGTATGAAAATGTCAAGATGGCCTTGGAAAATAACCTTAAAAGCTTGACATTTAAATAAGTGACTTCATTTTAAATTTCTGGGGAAATTCCTTTAACCACATACTCTCCATTTACCAATGTCCCTTAGGTATTGCATGTTACAATAGTCATATTCATAATCTTGACTTTCTACTTGGACCTTTGACAAATGCCTGCCAAACTCTATAGATGTCTTTCTCTTATCATACTCCAACTATGCGGTAAAGATGAATCCAAAGGCTTCCAAACTCTTGATTTTCCTTCCTTTCATTTATTGCATTATTAAAAAAAAATATTTCTTGTTATAAGATAGCGAGAGTACTGTATATAAACCATACTGACACCGATTAAAATTGCCAAAGTTTCACCAAATTGTTGCTAAAATCCATGTTTACTATATTCAATCTCATAATGGCTTAGCTATAATGTCTCGCATTTTAAAGGTTTAAAATATTTACCAGGGTAGCTTGTTTCTTTTTTCATTAAAATCAATTAGTCTGGATAGATGTAGTCAAAGGATCAACTTTATATCATTATCTCTTGCTCTTTTATCTCTGTTCACTTCCATCAATAATAGACTAAACCCCTGTCTTCAGTTTGTTTTCAATACACAGATGTAGCACACTTTAAAATTCTCAATTTCATCTTGGCTTCAGTTGGATTGCAATAAATGTGTCGTCATTTTGGCTTCGAACATAGCCCAGTCTCTTCAGTCGTCAACACACCCCATTCTGCAATTGCCAAGATACACCACCTTGGCTTTAGCCTGACTCAGGTTATCAGTGAAGCAAAGTCTTCAGTTCTCAAATAGCCCTGACTTCTGTTGTCAATATAACCATGTCTTCAGTTTTCAATATAACCCTGTCTTCGGTAGTCCATATAACCCTGCCTTCAGTTGTCAATATAACCCTGTCTTCAGTTCTCAAATATAACCCTCTCCTCAGTTGTCAATATAACCCTGTCTTCAGTTGTTAATATAACCCTCTCTTCAGTTGTCAATGTAGCCCTGACTTTCCTGTGGTTTGGTGAAGTCTACTTTATCCCTATACTTGATGTGATAATGGTGGCCCCTTCTCAGCAGTGGATCCTGGGGATCTGTCTTAGAGTGGTTATCATACACAGTAGAAATTATCACTTCTCTGTATGCTCGTTGAGATTTTCCTGTTGGCCTGACAAGTTTCTCACCTCTGTATCTGAAGACAGAAAATAAAAAGTTAATAAAACATTTGAATATTCTAATTTAAAAAAAAAATGGTTTTCATCAAGTCAAGGTTTAAATAGTATATTATTTTGATGCCCCAGATCATTGAAACTATGAACATGTAAGGTGTGTTGCAATACAGTAACATCAGGTCTGAGGAAAAAAAACACCAGGTAGCTTCAAAATATTGTAAATTTTGTAAATGAGCTAACATTTACCCTAATCCTTTTCTGTCTTTGGGATTTTGTCCATCATTTTCCAATGCTTCTGCAATCCCTTTAACAGAAGATCCTAATCCCTCTCCTTCCTGCCAGCCTTGCTTTTCTAGGATCTTCCTTCCCACTCCTTTAGTGTGAGATTCAAATCTTCCTATTTTGTGATCTTCCTTTGGAACTTTGAATCTTCTTTTTCTTCCTATTCCTACAGTGAACCTATCTGTGGCCTCTTCACCATCCCTCCTACGTTTTTCTTGCCTCATGGTCACATGATCTCTGGCATCCTTATCCCCGGCTCCGTCTTCATAATACACACTCATGTCTACATCCCAGTCATCTGTTGTTTGTTCATCAAAGTCTGAAAAATTATTGACATCATCAATTATTAGTTTTGTTCACAAATTTAAAATTTTATTTTTAAGCTATAAATTTGTTTCCCTCTCAATGTACAAGATTTAGAAAAAAGATCTCCATTTTCTTAAGTCATTTTTAAAGGTTAGGGAAGAAATAACTATAAACCAAGAGTGAAAACTCTTACGTGTAACCCAGTCCAGTGGAATCTTGCCAAAATCCCACTAACATTCCTTGGTAATACCTTATTGTGGGTTATTTTAGAAGGGTGACTAATATTGGCTTATTTTAGAATTTAGGTAGTAGTTAATATTGGCTTATTTTAGAATTTTGGTAGTAGCCTGCCAAAATTGTAATCGCTAAAATACTCAGTTTTCTTCTTAGTGTTCTTTAGCAAAGTCATGAAACCCAGTGTCGGCTAAAATATATTACACCAAATTATTGGCATACCTTTGAGTAAGCAAAACACCAAATTTTAGACTCACCAAGAAAACCCACTATAGAGTATATAGCCACTAAATTTTCATTCCTCTCTTGCTGATTCCATTCACTGAACAGTTCTTACCCCCTTCCTGCTCCTGCCAGTACTGGGCATCTGTGTAAAAGACCAGTCCACTGCCTCCCTTCTCCCACTTGAGTTCTATCTCCTCCTCAAACAGTCGGTCCTTGTTTCTCTCCTGATTTGTTGGGTCGTCTGTCAGTGCTTCATGTCGCTCCCATTCCTCACAACTGTCATCGTCCTAAAGAAAGGTTGTAGTCATTTAAGATTTATTGAAATATATATACTGTCAGTCTGTGGAAGCATAGCTGTGATTATGCTTAACAGACATATTTTTAAGCTTCTTTGGCAATCTTTGCTAATTGATGATATTTACTATATAAACCATTCCATATTTGTAAATATAGAATACAGAAGGCCTACGAGGTCTATGTAAAATAGTGACTTTTTTGTCATTCACAACATTTAAGCCTTAAAAATGCCATACATACATGCTCAGAATCATTGTCTTCTTTGTGGATCATATTCTCTTCAATGTTCAATTCCATTCTCCTCTTGGTTTCCGGGTCTTTTCTGGTTACTCTCTTGTATATCTTTTGACTTTGTTCATCTGACCTATCAACCTTTTCTTCAAAGTCCTCCTCACTCACAAGTTTATGCCCACAACCAGATAAAATGGCCTCCTCAGAAGATTCTTCATATTTTGGTTCCTCGGTCTCACCTCCATAATCAAAAGAAACATTTCCATATCTGTTTTTTACTCTGGTTTTGGGAAATTTCAGTCCTAATTTCTTGATAACAATGGGTGGAAGTTTACATTGTCGAATGGCCTCCATGAAAATAGATGTTGGAGTTCCCACATTACCATTTGGCATTGCAGCAGGGGGATGTAATTCTGGAAGTTTCATTAAATCTGCTTCTGTGAAAGTTTCTCTGTCATTGGGTATCTGTTTCAACTCTCCTCTTGTCTTGTACTTTAAAGACATATCTGTAGGTGAAGATGGTAATGAAAAAATTTCATAAAATACCAGCCTAAAATCCAAATCTAAAATACTTTCAATTTCTCTTTTCAAAAAAAAAATCATATTGTTGTTAATTGAAATTTTGTTAACCATTATTAATTCAGTCAAACGGTTGTAAATCAACAAAATGGTTGATGCCCATGCACAAAATAATTGAGTGACATTTCAGATAATATATCCTTACAGTTTTAAACAGAACAAGACAAATGTCACTGGTACTTAATTTTCAGAATAAGAATAGACAGTCAGTCAACACTTCCAAATACGCTGAGGTGTAAATAATATCTTGTAAAAATTACTACGTACTGTATCAATCAATATCAAATACAATCTATATACAAGTCTACTGTGATTATTTCTAGCATCTTGTGACACTTATTGACTTAACATCTGACTTTTGACATTATTTCTATTATCTTGAAACACTTAGTGACTTACCGTCTGACTGTTGAATTTTGGCTTTAGAAATATGACAAACTTTGGAAATCGATTCTCCATTGCTGTCTAGCCAGTGTTTTCTGTGGTACATCTTTATAAGTTCATCATATCTATTTGTATATACCCTAGCAACACAACAGCACGTATTAGATGATGTGTTTTGTGTTTTATCGTTATCATCAACTCCATCGTCTATCTGACGTTTCTTCAGCTGAACTTCTGGTCGATGTCTGAAGTGGAAACATTTGAATCCCTTAGTCTCTATGAACTGAGAGAAGAAATTTCTGAGATCTGATGAATGATAATCACGGGGTATATTGTTTATAATTACAAAAACTGTATCCCTTTCGTCACTCATCATGCAATGATGCATCACTCACAACGCAAGTTATTTACTTTCATGTTTGAACTTCCGGTTTGATGTCTAAAAGTAGAGCGGACAAATTACTTGTTTTCGGGAACTTGTTCTATATCGCAATAAAATTAAAATTAAATGAGCAAATGAAATTATTTTTCATCTTTTAAAGGTGTCCAACATGTCAAAATAGTGAAAGGTATTCTTTTACAGCGTAAATTCCTTCATGTGCAAAGTTTTGAAATCCTCAGTGGCATTGCCCTTTTTTTAAACAAAATTTTCAGAACTACCATGTACAAAAAAAAAAAAAAAAAATCCAATAATCATTGAATAAATTAGTAACATCAATAAATTCATTTTTCAGCCTTGTACCCGGGTATAATGTAGCACGAAGAGAGAAAATATTAACCTCCTGACCATACTGGAACCCACGGCTGAACTCCAAACATGCATTAGGAACAGCTAGTCAACTGCTCACTGAAACGGATTTTCGAAGCTATTTTACTGATGACAATTTTCTTGCAGAAGATGAAACTGACAAAAGCGCTGTATATCAAATATTTGAGACAAATCAGTTTTATAAATAAAACAGTTATTTCTCTCTCTCTCTCTCTCTTTTTTTTTTTTTTTTTTTTTTTTTTTTTTTTTTTTTTGCTAGCTATAAGCCAATTTCACTTAGAGGATGGTCATTCGGCTTTAATTTTTAAATATAGCAAAGTTTTCTTTCAGATCTTTTTCTTCCTTTCTATCGTTACACTTCTAATGCTTCGTAAAACTTACAGATTAAAATCATACAATACCTTTTATACATAAAATAATTCTTAAATGTGTGTACTAGCTATGTAAATGCACATCAATGATAACTTAAAAAGAAGTTGTGGTAGAAAAAATAATGCATATAAAATTATTTCTTTCACGTTTTCACTCTGCGTTTATCAATTGCAACATTTTACATATTGAAGTTTTTTTTTTATTTTTACAAGCATTTGGGGTGGAAGGGGGTGGGATAAGCAGGAATTAATAAATGATACTCATCTTCAACATAATTGTGACATTCAAAACAGTGTCTGAGCTGTCTATCTTTGTAATTATCAAGTATCGACCAGTTTCTATTGCTAATTGATGTGATGCCAGTCTTTATCTGTTTGGTTTTCAGAAAAAAAGAATTGTTAAACATGCATATGAGTTGTGACTTTAAAAAATATCTTAAAAAAGAGCATTTACCAACACTATCGAACTGAGAAACAACAGAGTATAGACTGTATTTCTTGAGCAAAAATGTGCTGCTTGACAATGCAATCTTCTCCCATAAATAGAATTACATAGATCTTTGAAAATAATTTTAAGTATAATTAGGGCATCCAATTTCTCACATTCTTCCTTGCAATAGTCTCAAGTAATTTATTATAAAAAATGTTGAATAATACAACTGGTGTGCTCAAGATTTTTCTTCTTCAAAACTTTATGATAATATTGTTCATTCGTTGATATGATATAGTCCTAATTACGAATATGTAGCTAGATTACATGTCAGCGGCGGATCCTGGAATTTCATTACGGGGGGGGGGGGGGGGTAGAAGGCAGAGGGTCTGGGAGCTGACGAATTCTAACAAATAAGAAGTGTTTTTTCCCTTGATTTTAGAATAATACAAACAAAATTTCAAAAAAAAAAATTCAAGCCGGGGGGGGGGGGGGGGCACGCCCGGCACACCGGCGCTGGATCCGCCTTTGCATGTTGCCTTTTTTATCCCTTAATATTGCATGAAAAATAAATTCAAGATGAAGTTTCTCATTTTAGCCTTATACTTACATGAGGCCGAAACTTAAGATAATTCAAACAAAACAAGATGGGCGAAAGTATCCCGCCTTGCATTACACCAAGACTACTGTTTAAAAAAATCTCTAAGTGGACCCAGGTTACATTGCTTTTTTTTTTTTCAATAAAGTCGTTTCAACACTTGTTAAAGTTTTCCTTTAATTTCAATATTTCGGACAGTTTCAACCAAAGCTTATACACATATCTGCAAACAAAGCCGAATGCCTCCATCCCTATACCTTTTAATCGGAAAGGATTTTGTTCTTTGTTAATGGGGTTGTAATTAATCAATAATTTGCAAGCATGGCATCAGTATAGTCCTACACTTTGGTCTAAAAACAAAATACACGTCAGCAATAATAACATTTTTATAGCCTTTCCATGATTAGTTAAAACAGATTTTAAAATGTTAACATGAGACTGAATATCCCTTAATTACATGTAGTTGTGATCAGATTATATGCACAATTATAGAAAGACTGAGAAAGTACATGTAATGAGTGATAAAATCTATTTTAAAGTTTTTAATTAACATGTTTCTATAATATCCCGAGAGATGGGCCAAATTAGTTACTGTTTTAAATATTTTGTTGTTGTTGACATAGCATGGGCATGCTTTAATTATAATTAAGTTTTAATGAAAACAAATGCTCAAAAATCTAAACTGTCTAATAATTACATTCGGTAAAGAAAACACGAAGTTAATGCTACGAGTACAGTTATCAATAATATAAAAAAAAAACAATACATCGTTAGCATTCATAAACTAATTAGTAATTAGTGTGTCGAACTAGTCAGGCAGTCTTTGAAACAACATCAGATATACTGTAGCAGATGACAAATACTACTCGGAAGAAATGTACTTGTGAAATATACTTCGTAAGGAGTTTAAATAGGGTGAGCCAGAACTTGAAAATCACAATCAACTGTTCTTCACACAGCAAGCAAACATTCACTCAATACACACTTATTTCAGCTTGGAAAACAATGGAGGTCCAAAGGGGAAAGAAATCTGTTGGTGGGAAATTGATGAGGCATTTTTCAGTAAAGGAGGGTGCCATTCCAATGGTCGGCAAAAAGGTAAGATTTAATTAATAGTTAGCAGAAAACATTAAATTCGGCTTGGAATATGTCGGTTTATTCGTGAATATCAACATTTAGACACAATATCGCATATATATATTTCACTTTGATTTTTAAGTGCAAACTTGTTTTGGGAAGTTAAAAAACGTAATTTTATTTTTTTTAAACATTTTTAAATTAAACTTTTATTTCATTATTCATATTTTTTTTAATTTTAGGCCAGCAAACCAATAACAGAAAAGAGAAGACGAGACAGGATCAACAAATGTCTCGTGCAGCTGAAGAATATCGTAATGAGGGCAACAGGCAAAGATGTATGTATTCTATATATTGCATGAATTTGAATGCTTTCGGTTTTTTATTATTATTTGCGTTTATCTTTTGTTCTCTTATAAATGATTGGACATAAAATATTAATTTACGTTTATTTTTGTATTTTTTAGGAAAAACGTTTTGCGAAAATGGAAAAAGCAGACATATTGGAAATGACTATTGGTCATTTGGTTGAAATGCATCAGAAAAATATAGGTAATAATTTTTATTATCATGTGTTTGCATGCCAAAGAATTGTTTCTTTATGGTGTGAGCTTACATATTCATATATACACTATTTTAATATTGACATATATAAGGACAGGTTTCTCGATGCACCAGCTCTTTGCTACACTGATGGAATCTAAATACTGACCATGTTGTGAGTATGAAATGAAGTTGAGGGTGTCATTTAATTTTTTTTAAAACAAGAATAAACTTAAAAATTTTTATACATCATAAAGAAATTTTTACTTTAATTAAATTTGAAATTTATGATTCAGGAAAACGCTTTGTGGACCACTGGGGAATCGCCACACCAGAACCAGTGAACCCTTTGGATCCCTTCAGATCTATGAAAAGAAACACCGCCAATGACAATCTACAGCAAGGTTTCACGCACCAGAGTTTTTATCCGGATCATCTTTTCTGCACACCTACATACAAATGTGGATACAGTGGAGACAAGGAAATAATGGACGTCAACTTTGACACTAATGACGTCATGGAATCGAGTAGCGTAATGTGCGGCTCTGCTTCTCGTGTCTTTATCTTTGCAGATGACAACAATGGAATGAAATGCGAAAAAAGCTCAGAAAGCCCAATGCGTCATCATATCAATTTATCGAGGGAACGGAACCAGATATGTTATACTAGTAAACCCCTCTTCACCTCCACTCCAGTCGATGTTAGTGCTATAAAACCAATCAGGACCTCTACCCCCATTGGTCTACCAACTCTAACCAGGGGCTACGTCTCACCAGATGAGCTGCTCTTGTCCGGAAGATACGACATTAACCTCAACACTTCCCCGGATCTACGTGTTCGATTGTTTACCAGCAGTGAGGAATCGTCTGACGGAAGTCTGGTCAGAAAATCCGGTTCTGCTTCTTCCGGCTCAGAGTCGTCTTCTTTGGGAACCAGTTGTGGATCTAAGAAAGAGAATGGTGTCTGGAGGCCTTGGTGATACAACAAAGGAATTCAACAACACTAATTTGTAAAAATACCCAGTGTATATATTTGTATATCATTATTTATTCTTTTGTATAGCGTTTGCTTGATTTTATCAATTTTATGATATTATGTCATAAGAGAATAAATAAACTAAAGTATTCCCTATATCAGATCTGTTTTCCAGTCTTGTTGATGCGCTTTATAGTTTGAAGAATTCTTATTATTAGTTTACCTTTGATTTGTGAATTAACCTTTAGTTTAATTTTAAGCAAAGTTTACTTTTATACAGTATTTTAATATGCAAAAAAAGGTTTGGCTTTGATTCAAATAGAGAAAAAACCGTTAACGATGATTTTAGAAGAAAACAAATGCTATCCCGACATTCAGTTTTGGATACGGTGGTGAATCAGGTGACAATATAAAACAATCAAAAAGTTCACCTAGGACTACATTCTAAGGCAGATGGTTCTTGTTATAATGATATATGAAAAATATAGGAAAAGACATGCAAAAGATTGAATATATTTCTGTTATTAAAACATAGTATAGATAGAAATTCACTTATAATAATTTCTTTTATTCTCATTAGACCCATTTTAGAATATGCAGATATTGTGTG